TTTTGTGTATTTATTGTATCAAAACGTGTATTTGACGACTGCATGGTCTTATTGCCGTATGGTGACGTTAAAGATCCCAATACCCCATTTCGTCCCGTGAGTGTCGTAAGAGTCTACTGAGGGAAACTGAAAGAGGAGATGGGTAGCAGCTTCCTGATAACAAATTCAAAATAACATAACTTTGATTGCTTATCGAGCGTGGCAAATATGGCAAAATTCTGCCTAACATGAAATCTTTGGGGGAAAGCTATGTTCAGCAGTAGATTTACTGTAATGGATGCAATATAGGTCAAAGCGTCAACTTAACAATCCATCAGGGTTGGCTGTATTCGTATGCCCCTCTTGATTGCTATAAAAGTAGAACTTTGGGATTCAGTCTATCTAGTACGTCAAAAGAATGTTCGCTATTCGCTAAGCATTCAACCCAACCAAGTAAATTTAATATTGTCACCTAAAAGGTTTAAATGCTTTCCTATGTCGACGCTTTAATTGAATGGCTATTTCACCCGCGCTTATTGTAACAGATAAGTGGAAAGTTTTCGGGATTATTTAGACAGAGTGTGCGAAGGGACGTTAAACTTTGTTTAGGTTATCTCGAAATAGTTATATTGTCCATTACGTTAAGCTTTCGTGAATTCACTTATCTCCTGTTAAATGAATTACGTTAGCAGTGCACTATACTTAATGCATCTATATAATAAATTATTTTATTATTAGGAAAATGATGGAAATTACCACGGAGGTACGAATGGAACGAATTTTTTCGTACTACATCTTATATACTGTATTACACCTTTCCTAAATTTATAGAGTCGTAACTTTGGAAAAGTCTGACTGAAATAACTAAATTTAAGGCATTATGTTTCTAAAGTAGGTACTAAAGTTAGAACATAAAATATAACTATCGCACGAAAAAATAAATATACGTTAACTTTATATACGTCTCTAAAATCACAAAGAAAATCGTTCTCGCTGTTAATATTAGAAGATACTGGAATACTCCCTCATAATCTTTCAGTTTAATAAAAAAAAATTCATTGTATTTATAGAAGTTGATCATTTCGACAATTTCACATCAAATAAATCCATTACTAATGTACGCTGGCATTAATTACAAATATTCATGTCAAAAATTGAAAATACTGGAGTTGTAGAAACTGATAATATTTTCTGAAAAAAAAAATAGGCCATCAAATATATTAATTATTTACTAATGCAAAAACCTAGAAAAATAAGGCCATTAGGACGATTACGGGCTGCTAGGTTATTATAGGTAGTTTTATTTTTTGTAATAATACTAGTTTTTACGGAATTTATCGCGTATATTTAACTTTTTAAATACTCGACGTTTCGAGCGCTTTTAAACCTATGGTCACCGGGTGAACTATGACATCTGACGTTCAACATGTCAGTTCCCGTGGACCATAGATGCTGTAAAAGCGCTCGAAACGTCGGGTATTTAAAAAGTTAAATATACGCGATAAATTCCGTAAAAACTAGTATTATTTCAATGTGTAGTGTTCGCGTAAATATAAGAAATCTTTATTTTTTGTTTTACATATTGATACTGTATAAAAATGTACTTTATAAAATATAATTAAAAGCCTAAAAGTGGATAGATTTTGTATCACGTTGTCTCAGTACTAAACAAATATTGTTTAAATGCGAGTTCTATTTACTACATATTAGTTCTGGCAATGGCATATCATGTTAGATTTACTAGAAAGTAATTCATAACGAATCGTCAACAATGCTCATTTCATTTTGAGAGCGGTACGTTATGCGTCCGTTCTATTTTTTCCGTCGAGCCTCATCGCGTTGCATATCACCTTTTATTGTCATAGCACACATAAACGCAGCAATTTTCACTTATTGTTAGAAAAAAAGTCAAGAGTGGTACTGTTTTGTTGTGCACATGTCTAAAATATTTCGGAATATAGATGATTTAAAAATTGTTCCTTTGGGTTCTATTTTTTTACTGATATAAATCCTTAAGTTATATATTCTATATTTATACATAGTACAGAAATAATCATTAAGGAACAATATATTATGTTGGTTCACTAGGCGGTCTTATTGCCCTGAAAGTGATTTCTTACAGACGACCTTTTACACTGAGAACTTTTGTGACCAAAGAATGAAGACGAGGGTACTTGAAAATAAACATAAAAGCTCAAGTTGATGCCGTTTAACGATTTGGTGGTAATTTTTTATTGTACCTTAGCAGCTCTTCCGTTTTTATCAAGTGTGCCAGAAATCTTTAAATTTTATATTTTTCTTTATACGAAGTTCGTTTTCTCGAGCAACGCTCATATGAATTGGTTATCTACTGATAGTGGCTAGGTACCATTTCTGACTAGGAGTCAATCTGAGTAGGTTCCTCATACTTTTTCTGCAGCCAAATAGCAATAATTGTACTGCTGTGGTCTGCAGGGTATAGATCTAGTGTAATTTAAGGCTGTTAGGCATTCCATCTTAGAGGTGATATCGCGTCTGTAGCCTTCTTTGTTCACCTTTACTTGCAGGTGACCATGGACAGTAAGTTCGTTTGCCACTTCGTTTTTTTCACACATTAGGTGCCTTATTTTTTAATACAGCTACCTCATGTTATGATGTATTTTAATATCTGATATACTAGTAAATAAAATTAATAAGCTGAAAATAATTTTATGTATATAAAATGACAGAATTAATTCCTTATATATTTTAATGCCATTATTCAATTGATATATATATATATATATACATATCAATATGTAACGTAATTAACGCACACCCTCAGGCACCCCAATTAGTATGTTATGTTATAATGATAATACATACACTGAATTTTTAGTTAAAAAAGTTTATGCACTAATTATTTATCAAATTAGTTATACTAATTTCGGAAGAATGTTGTGGTCACGGTACAAATCCACGAACGCAAAGACTTAACGTACTTGAAATAAAGTTCATTTTTATTTATTTTTATTGAATGACAGAACTTGTAATAATACAATTAAAAGTGCACTCCTTAAAAGTCTTATTGCCTTAAGTTACGGTCCATTTCAGTTTGTTTTGACTGTACAGATTTAGTGTGACTGTAATTTACGTAGTTTTAATTATTTTTGGGATAAAAAATTATCTATATTAAAAATGATAGGAATCGATTCAGTAAACGATTCTGAACAAACTACTTTCTCAAAGTGCGTTAATTATGTTACGTGTTGTATATAGTTCTGTGATACTTCTATTAATGCTCGGATTTAGCTGTCTCTCTTCACTGATTGATTACCGTTGGGAATTTTGATGCGGTACAGAACCTATTATTGTCAGATGTTGCCTGGCTTGACGTATATGAGTATCGATACGCCTACGTAGTTTTCTAGCAGCCGGACCGTAGGAATGGAGTTTTTATCGGCGGTATAAATTCTTTTATACGCGGTTTATTGTTGGTGAAATGCCTTTGGGTCGCCCTACGTACTTTTGCCCCGACAACACGATACCTTTAAACCTAATAAAATGGTGAAATTGTTTATAATCGCCCGTCGCTCTAGTGGCTCCTTGAGAAAATTTAAATTTTCTCAAGGAGCCACTGGAATTAATTTTGTTGTGTTTTTTTTTGTGGCTCAGTAGCTTAGTAATGAGTTACAGCGCTAAGTACCGCGGCTTCAAATCCCGCACGGAACAAGTATTTGTGTGAACAACAATTGTATGGCCTACATACAATTGTTCCGGGTCTGGATGTTTGTCCTTGTGAAATTTATATTATGTAAACTGCCCCAATGATACACGAGATAATCCTAGTGTGGAGGAAACACTTTTTTAAAGACGTGTCGTCTGCCACTTTCTTTTATACGGTTTACATTTAAACTATTAAAGAAAAATATTTTCCTTTGATTTATTTTACTGTTTATTAATATGCACTATTGTAACATTATTGGATTATGCCAAAGTCGGTAACTTATATTTTATAACAAAGTATTGTAAATTGAAAATATAATTCTATCTTTGGTGAAACGATTTCGTCCGATTTTAATCGAGGTCCGAAATTACCCGTGTAGAATTTCTTATCTCCTTTTTATCGCTACTAGTTCGTTATGCGAAATTCTTCTATGTTACTGAGCACGTTAGCGTAGAAGGAACTCTATTTTATTGCATCTGGTGCAACGGTACATAAATAGACGGAACCTTATCCACAAATTAATCGACTTTTTATTGGGATTATCGAATTGGAACGTGGCACAGGTTTTGAGTGCAAAATTTCAAGGTCGCCAGCCCTGACCTATTTATTGTACCAGCCGTTATAAAAAGTTTTATCTAAATCCGACATGCTATGTTAGTGGTTGACAAAAGCTTAAAGCACATAGAACAGACCAAAATAGAAAGACTGTAAACGAAACGCTGTACTAGGATGAAAAATTTCCTTATTTTTCCACACGATAATGACGTAGGTTATTGTGTTTCTAATAAATGGCCGTTTACGGACGCTTGCGAGCTGGATGTTTTGAAATTGAATAAAGTGACAAAATTGGGACCAAATCGAGCGGTTACATAAGTGGGGGCGGGGACTAGCACACTGTAAGCTTACGTAAGGAAGTCTAGAACTTTGACCGTACAATATGAAATGCCCTTTTTAATTTGTGTTTCACGCCGGTTGAGCGCACGATTTAGTGAACGAAACGTTTAACTGTTGATTTAATTTCTTAAAAAAAATTTACTGCTTTATGATATTAATTCGTCAATAAATTTAATTGGCTGCTTGCATTTATGTTTTACTCTTTGTGTTTGTAATTTACTATTGCGAGTATTTGTTTTTTTTTTAAATTTATGACATCGCTCTTCATGAAGTTATTTAACTAAAATTTAAATAATATTAACTTTATAAATTAAAACGCTTTGTAATTTAAATTATTGTATAAACGCGCTTATCACACCAGCGGAATCTTTGAAGTGTCTGAAAACAGTCGACAAGCGTATCCGTTGCAAACCCTCATTCAACATCAATATTTATTATTTACCTCTGCAACGATGCCATTAGCGACAAACAGTGTTAGAAATGTATTTCCCGCCAAAAAATACCATCACAACTATACTTGTACATTGTACGAAAACACTTATCTTTTAGTAAGAAATTATCACTGCATGTTACTATGTTACAGACACACGCGAACTTTTTCAAGTGTCGTTAATATTCGGGTGCACTAGAAGATTGTTTTTTAAAGGGCACGTGCGATCACGGTGGCGGTCGGCACGCAACTAATGCTGCGGGAGCTGCCAGTGGCCATCAGAGTCGAATTTGGAGGCCTCTTTTGAAACTAGTGGCTCATACTGGCAGGCGAGAGGGTTCACAGTTTTTCACGTAATTTCCATAAATATTTTTATTTAGGTACCTATGTAAATAGAAAAGATAGATGTTAGGTTTATTTTGTAAATTTGGATTTGGATAAAACGCACATTCAAGGTCATATTGAATCGATTCTTTTATACGACTCGTTTCGCTCGGATTTTCATCATTACGTATTCATGTATTTTCCCTTAATTGAGATCTACTAGAATACTTGCTAAATAAGTAAATAATATATTGATAGTTTCCTTTTTTATAACTAACATAATTCTTGTAATCCCGTTGCGCAGTAGCTTAGTATTGAGTTGCGGTGCTAGCGGTTGCGGGTTCGAATCCCGCATGGCACAAGTATTTGTTTGGCCAATAAATAATTGTTTCAGGTCTGGATGTTTGTTCTTATGCAACTTATTTAGGTTAACGACATCTACGGTAAAGCAGAAAATTCTAGTGTGTTGGGAACGTTTAGAAAAAATCAACGAAACAGAAGAGCAACGTTTTGTGTCCTTTTTAAAACAAATTGAGGGCTTTTATTTTCGGATAAGCTGCTAGTAAGTGGATTAAGCTTGACGGAAAGAAGCGTAGACGAGAGCTTACCTTACGTGACAAGATAAAATGATAAATTAGTAACGCGAGGGACATGTGAGTCTCTGAGAGCTCGCTTACTGTGAAACCAAATCATACTTATTTATTATTAAGCTTTGCGTAAGTGCATGAAAATGCAAATGTTTTAAACTGGTTTGTGTGAGATGTGTGCATATAATCAAATATGTATTTTATGAAATGTTAAGTGAAAAATACGAATGTTACAAATAGATATAAACCTTTCACTGCTGCAGAAAATTTATCTCAAGTTTATTCGTAGTAGAGTCATGCTGCAGCTATATTATAGTTATAACGCGTAGGGTCGGTTAAACCGGGGTAGTAGTAGTACTATGCTCTCACAGAATACCAGCGATAAATAGCAGCTTAACGCTGCTGTGTTTCGTATGGTGAGTGTAGAGAACCGGAGATCATTTTCACTAGAAACGAGGCATTCCAACTTAGTCCTTAGGAGTGACAACGCATCTGCATTTTGATTCTTAGTCGAGGATAGATTTAGATGCGTATAAGCCACAGCATCTACTTACTATCAGATGGACTGTGTGCTCGTTTGTTACGCTTATCCTGTTAAAAGAAGTTGGGAAATTATACCACAATTATCATGCTTGGCAGACAGTGATTAAAGAAGCTGTTTAGACACTACAATATTACATGTATTACTCTGTATCACTATGAGATAATGTCATCTAGACGTATGGTGGCAGCTTAATAGAATCCATTATCTCATTCCATTCCCTTGTGTCTAGATATTATGGCTTTCTATAGCTAGCGGTGTAACCATCTCTTTTACGTATCTCTTTTACGTTACAAACGTAATTATATGTAAAACAAACGTAACACACCAGTGCAGGTGCAAACACTGTTTTACGACAGATATAGCTAAGAGGATGGCATCCGGACGAACATAGGCAGAAACGGAGTCTTACACATCTTGTAAAGGTGCTAAAAATGTAAGTAGTTTTCTACGTGGTAGAGCCACGCAAAATAGCAGCTTAGTGCTGCTGTATTTCGTATGGTGTGTGTGTAGAGAACCGGACACCCTTTTTACTGGAAACGAGACATTCCATCTATAAGGGATGACAAAGCATCTGCATTTTTATTCTTAATCGAATCCTCGATTGTGGCCCATAGATATCCACTTTTATCTAAATGTACATGTCTATGGGCCACGGTATACACTTACCATCAGGTGGACAATGTGTTTGTTTGACACCCTTGTTCTTTAAAAAAAAAACCGCTGGCAGTGAAATTAAGTAATGGTTGGTTCTAATCAGACCGACTGCAAGGTTGCAGTAAATAAACGTACATTCTATGTTCCATGATAAAAAAAACGTAACATTTTTCATTCTTCATAAGTCCATATAATTCGACTCTTGGACATAGGCTTCTTTAGTTGTAAGCAGGACTTGCCTTAAAGATAGGATAGAAAATACGTAAGATAGAAGATACGTTGGCATTTGGCAATGATCATACTTGCACATTCAGTGCACATTATTCAGTAATTAAAAACGTGAAGTTTCAGTAGGCCTTGAAATATTTGTAATAAACATAAAATTAAATAACGCCGCTGAGAATATAAATATGAGAGACTCGCATTTTTTACTCCCAAGGGTACTTATTTTGCCGAGCCGGTCGGTTTTCGTACATGTGGTATTAATTATGCAAACGTCACACAAAATTTAATTGGTGTGTATAAAACTTGCGTTTTTTAAATTGCCGTCCTTATTTTCACTGTAATATGTCTTGTCTGACGGTTGCGTATATAGTCAAATTTTTAAATTAAAAAAATGCAGAGAATCTAAGCTTAGTAATTAGATATTTTTTTTGAAATTTTCTTTAGTCGTCACTTATGAGCTTATGAATAATTTCGGGTTTCTTATTTTAAAAACGCTTCCTTTTCTTTCACGAGTCGTTTTGCAGTAAATGTACTGCATGATAATCCCTTTAAAAAAAGTTTAGCTATTTATAAAGCGTTCAATCTTTTTCATTTTGAGTCATCTTATGTTGCTAAATGAATAGTTTGTAATTTAAATTATTTTCACATGCATCTCGTATTTAGTAATAAAACGGATTGTTACGGAGAACGAAACGTTTCTTAAATATGTAAATACACCGTGACCGCAAAGCACGGTTTCTAATCTAAGTTATGTTTAGGCATTTCACTTGATAATTATATTTATAGAAATATGACTCAACAAAGAAGTATTTGAGCGTGTAATTTCGTCAAGTTAGAAGTTTTGTAATGCAAAGCTTAACCGCTTTGGACATGGAAAACATGTTATGTAAGGTATTTATTTACATAGGGGCTGAAGCAAATTTTCCTCGGATTAAAATTGTCGTCGTTTATAACTACGTCGTTTGCTAGGAACAATGATGTAACTTTGTCCTTTGTGATCTTAACAAGCAACATTTTTCGTTAATGGTAAAAAAATAATAGTATGAATACCAAATTATTCATTGAGCTGTCGTTGATTAAACTCAATACTCGGTGCACGGGGACTCTTGCAATGGGAAAATTGTTTACAAGTGCCACAGCCATTTTATACGTGCTAGAGCCATGTTGCAGCTATATTATGGCTGTAGCACGAATGGGTCGGCTTTACCTGGGAAGGACCACACTCCCACAGAATACCAGCGTAAAATAGCAGCTAAATGCTGCTGTGTTTCGTATAGTGAATATAGACAACCTTTTTTCTGGATATGAGGCATTCTATCTTAGTGCTCAAGGGTTACAACGCTTCTAAATTTTGATTATTCGTCGAAGATACATGTAGATGTCTGTGGGCTACAGCATTCAGTTACCGTCAGGTGGGCTGTGTGTTTGCTTGCTACCTATAAAAATGCTAAAAATTCTTCTATAAAAAAAGAACTTCTAAATACAAGAAATATTAATTGTGTAGCATAGTTATGTAATTTCTGAGAGGGTTATAGAGGGGGGGGGGGCTGGGAAGAGTCCGCATTGCTTTAGCACGTGTTCGCGGACTTCTATGTCCTCGAAATATTGATTTTCAATTTCTCAGAAGTGCAGGTTTCCCCACGATGTTTTACCGAGCACGTGGTAAATTTAAATTGCAATTAGCTATTTCAGTTCTTTTATGTTTTGTAATTGCTGTTAGCCATTTTGCTGTTTCAGCGTCATCGGGTGTTATTTTTATATATTAAGATGATGATATATAATACATGATGATGGTAAGTGGATGATTTGGTCTATAGACCTAACAGCGATTAAGATTCAAAATGCATATTGCGATGTCACTAAGACTAAGATCAGGACTAAGATGGATTGCCTCGTTTCCAGTAAAAAGGTTATCCGGTTCTCTACGCTCACCATACGAAACAGCAGCATTAAGCTGTTATTTGACGCAGGTATTCTGTGAGAGCGTAGTCTTACCCCGGTGGAGCCGACCCTTTCGTGCCTACAACCATAATATAGTTGCAGCGCGGCTATAGGTACTACGTATAGAATGGTTTTGCTAGTGTATATATATATATATCTTTCAATATGTTTTGAGTTTAATTAACGACTTTTCAATGAATATTTGGTATTTATACTATTAAAGAGGTCTTAATTAGCGCAGAAAAAAGTGGCCTCGACCTCCTAACCTGTTAATTCCACAAAGTTATTGTCCCGTCCCTCGTATAACATTTTAGAATCAAAAATTTCTGTCGTGAAACAATAAGATTGAGTGAATTAATAAGGTGTTCTCACCTTTATGTATTCTTTTATGTTTGGTTTTTGATCGTTTCAATCAATGTCTTTTGTATTTATCTTCCGGGCACTTTTTTGATTAACCAAACTGGTCGTCTTCTAATTATGTTTAAAAGGTATTTGCTTACATGGATATTATTGGGGTTGGCAGTTAAAACTTTTTTTATACTGTAAATTTTTCCGCCAGAGAGAACGAAAATTGAAATGAAATATTGCGTTGTTAGAATGGGTTTCTTTGCGAACCGTAAACGTTTAGACTATATTTGACAAGTTTTGTTGTAATTTAAAGAAATTTCTAAAGTTGGAATTGTACTTATATAAGAATCCGTTCCGTTCTGCAAATATTTCAGTCCACCGTTACTGTTACAACCTTGGGGTCGTC